ATACTTATTATTTCTTTTGCTTGCCTAATTGCTCTGGCTAGAGCTTCCAAAACTATGTTGCACAGTAGTGGTGAAAATGGGCATCCTTCTCCTATTCCTGATCTTAGTGGAAAAAACTTTTGTTTTCACCATTGAGTATGATGTTAGTTGTGGGTTTTCATATATGGCATTTATTATGTTAAGGTGGTTTCCTTCTATTCCTAGTTTGTTGACTGTTTTTATCATGAAAGGGTACTGAATTTTATCAAATGCTTTTTAAACATGAATTTATTGTGTGTTTTTACCTTCATTCTGTTAATGTGGTATATTACATTGTTTAGTTTTTGAATGGGGCACCACACTTGTATTCCATGAATAAATCCCACTTTGTCATTGTGTATAATCCTTCTATATGCTTCTGAATTTGGTTTGCTAACATTTTTTAGGATATCTGTATCAATATAAGGGATATTGGCCAAGTATTCTTTTCTTGTAGTGTATATGTCTGGTTTTGGTATCAGAATAATATCGGTCTTACAAAATGAGTTAAGAAGTGTTCCCTCTTCTTCAATACTTTGAGAATATTTGAAAATAGACCATTTTCTTATAGCAGTTTTAGGTTCCCAGAAAAATGGACAGAAAATTAAAGAGTTCCCATATGACCCCTTCTCCAGCACACAGCCTCCCTCACTATCAAAATTCCACACCATTGTGGCACATCGATGAACCCACATTGACACATCATTATCACCCAAAGTCCATAGCTTACATTACGGTTCACTCTTGGTGTTGTACAGTCTGTGGGTTTAGGCAAATATATGCTGAGATATGTCCACAATTGTAATATCATACAGAAAAATTTCACTGCCCTAAAATTGTTCTATGCCCAACCTATTAATCCCTCTCTTCCCCCAACCACTGGCGATCACTGATCTTTTTACTGTCTCCATATTCATGCCGTTGCCAGAATGCCATATAGTTGGAACCATACAATGTGTAGCCTTTTCTGATTGACTTCTTTAATTTAGTAATATGCATTTAAAGTTCATCCACGTCTTTTCAAGGCTTGATGGGTCATTTCTTTTTAGCAATGAATAATATTCCATTGTATAAATGTACCACAGTTTATTTATCCATTCACCTACTGAAGGACATCTTGATTGCTAACAGGTTTAGGCAATTATGGATAAAACTGCTATAAACATCCTTGTGCAGGTTTCTGTTTGGACATAAGTTTTCAACATATTTGGGTAAATCCTAAGGAGTGCAATTGCTAGATCATGAGGTAAGAGTATGTTTAGCTTCCTAAGAGACTGCCAAACTGTCTTCCAAGGTGGCCATACCATCTTGCACTTCCACCAGCAATGAATGAAAGATTTTCTGTTTATTCATGATTCAATTGGTAGGCTGTGTGTTTCTAGGAATTTGTTCATTTCATCCAGGTTATTCATTTTGTTGGTGTATAATTGTCCATTGTATTCTCTTATAATCCTTTTCATTTCTGTAAAATCAGTAGTAATGTCCCCACTTTCATTTCTGATGTTAGTATTTGTGTAATCTCTTTTTATTTAGTCAGTGTAGCTAAAGATTTGTCAATTTTGTTGATATTTTCTAAGAACCATTTTGGTTTCATTGATTTTTTTCTTTTGTTTTTCTGCTTTCTGTTTTTATTTATCTCCACTTTAAACCACACATATTATTTCCTTCCTTTTGCTAGGTTTGGGTTTAGTTTGTTCTTCTTTTCCTAGTTCCTTAAGCTGTAAAGTTAGATTGTTAATTTGAGATCATCTCTTTCATGTAAGCATTGACAGTTATAAATTTCCATCTCAGCACTGCTTCGCTGTACCATAAGTTTTGGTTGTTGCATTTTCACTTATATTTGTCTCATGGTATTTTCTAAGTTCCCTTGTGTTTTTTTCTTTGCCCCATTGGTTGTTTAAGAGTATGTTGTTTAATTTCCACACAGTTGTGAATTTTTCAGTTTTCCTTCTGTTACTGATTTCTAGTTTCATTCTATTGTGATTTAAAAAGATAATTTGTATGATTTCAATCTTTCAAAATTTATTAAGACTAGTTTTGTAACTAACATGGCCTATTCTGGACAATATTCCATGTGCAGTTGAGAACAATGTATATGTTGCTGTTGTTTGTTGGAGTGTTCTGTATATGTCTGTTAAGGCCAGTTGGTTTATAGTGTTGTCCTCCTCCCACCCACTTTTTGTTATTGATATCACCAATTACGTTTTTATACGTTGTGTAACTATTAAAATAGATTTATTATTTTTTGATGTATTTGTCTTTTAAATCCTGTACAAAATTAAAAGTGGATTTAGAAACCAAAAATTTTTAAATACTGATTTTTATATTTGTCCGTATATTTACCTTACCAGAGATCTTTATAGTTTTATATAGCCACAAGTTATTGTTTAGTGTCCTTTCCTTTCAACTTGAAGGACTCCCATTAGTCTTTCTTGTAGGGCAGGTCTAGTGCTAATGAACTTCCTCAGCTTCTGTTTATCTGGGAATGCCTTGATTTCACCCTCATTTTTGAAGGATAGTTTTGACAGATATAGAATTCTCATTTGATAGATTCTTTCTTTAAGTACTTTAAATATATTATCCTACCACATCTGGCCTCTAAAGTTTCAGCTGACAAATCAGCTGATAATATTATTGAGGATCCCTTGTATGTGATAAGGTGATTTTCTCTTGCTACTTGCAAGATTCTCTCTGTCTTTTCCTATTGACAGTTCGATTTTAATATTTGTTGGTGTGGGACTGTTTGTGTTTGTCATAGCTGCAGTTTGTTGAGCCTCTTTTACTTGTACATTTACATATTATGTCAAAGCTGGGAAGTTTTTGGCCATTATTTTTTTCATGTAATCTTTCTGCCACTTTCTGGCTCTCTTATCCTTCTGGGACTCACATGATGTGTATTTTGGTCCTCTTGATGGTATCCCATAAGACCCTTAGGCTCTGTTCACTTTTCTTCATTATTTTTTCTTTCTGCTCCTCAGACTCAATACTTACAAATGTCCTATCTTTGAGTTCGCTGATTCTTTCTTCTGCCTGATCAAATCTACAATTGAACCATTCTAATGAATTTTTCAATTACATTATAATATTATTCAGCTCCAGAATTTGTTTTGTTCCTTTTAAAAATTTCTGTCTCTGCTGATATTCTCATTTTATTCATACTTCTTTTTCCTGATTGCCTTTAGTTCTTTGTCTGTTTTCCTTTGTCTCTTGAGCATATATAAGACAGTTGCTTTAAAATCTTTGTCTAGTAAGTCCTATGTCAGGGCTTCTTTGGGTGGAGATGGTTCTATCAATTTTTCTGTGCCTTTGAATGGGCTATATTTTCCTGTTTCTTTGTATGCTTTGTCATTTTTGGTTGCAGTATGAACATCTCAAATAACAACTACCTCTACCAGTCTTTGCAGACTTGCTCTCTACAAGGGTGATCCTTTACCAATGAGCTGGACTTGCTCTGATCATAGGAATTAGCCTGAAGTGAAAGCTTAAGATCTTCTCAGGCCTTTTCTGAACATGCATGTTGTGTGGGCCTGTGTCTGAATATCTCAGTTCCCCTTTATAGGTGGCTACTTTTAAATGTATTAATTTCCCAAAGAGTCTCACCCCAGATTCTTCTTGGCACCTTAGATAGTCTATTGTATGCCTCCACCTATAATCTCTTGTCTCAGCTTTCTGTAGACCTATAGTCTCCTTGCCCCTTTCACAGGCACTGTTGCCTTTCCCGCCTGTCTGCAAAGTTAGGAAAAACAAAGAGGAGTCCTTCAGGCAGCACTCAGACAAGTTAGAATATTGGAAATAAGGTCTACTCTACTTCCTCTGGTTTGAAGGATGGACTGGGAACTGGGTTGCCACCTCCTCCAAATCAAAACTGCTGCCACACTGGGCAGGTGGTAAGGAAAGGGTAAGTAATGACTCAAAACTTTCCCTACCATTTTTAATTAGGTCTTTTCCTGACTGGGTGTTCCTTAGTTGCTGTAGACCTTTGACTATTCTCAGATCTCTTATAAAGTTATTTTATCAAGTCTCTAGTTATTTTTTTATAATGTTTTTGTGGGTGAATGAGGGCCTGGAGCTTCTTAGCCTGCCATTTTGCTGACATCACTTCTCTTATTAGTTTTTAATGTATTTTCTTCTCTTCCCCTTTTATCTTCCATTTTCACATTGGAATAGCATTAACCCATTGAGTGCCAGAAAGAAGAAAGTACAAAATAACAGAGTATTAAGAAGGGTCTGCCTTATAACACACTGAAATCAGGATACCTATGTCCTAAATACAGATTTATTTTTTATAGGACCAAGCATAGTCATTTCCCTTGTGTTGGCCTCATCCTAAACAAAAAAGTTTGTATATCCCAATGGTTAGCAACATGGGCTTTGGTGTTAGATAAAATTAGATGTGAGCTGGGCAAATTTAATTACTGATTTCATGATCTTTATAGCTAATATTGAGCCTCCAGAGATATGAGACCCATATGTAATATATAAGCATTATATGTACATACCTGGAGAATATGATTAGAGTAAATGCACAAACATCATACATTATTTTTAAATCACTGAATGGTAGGTTTCTGGTTATTTATTTATTTATTTCTGGACTTGACAATATTTTCCACAATTTCTAAGTTAGTAATGGATCATTTTTCAGAGCAGAATTAAAGCTTATAGAAAGAACGATTGTTTTGAAATTTTCAGTCATAGATTTATAGAAAATAATATAACAGACTTCTGTATATTCAAATTGAGAAATAAAATATCACATATGCAGTTGAAACTCACTTTGAATCTTCTCTGATTATATTAGTCTCCTTCTTCCCCAGAGGTAATTTTTATCAAGATTTTGGGTTTTTCATACTTAATACTTTTCTTTATAGTTTATTACCTATGTGTGTGTGTATATATATATATATATATTAATTTTATTACGTATGTATATATCCCTAAGTGAAATATGGTATTGTTTTCTTGCATGGTTGTATCTATAGATGCTGGCTACCTGATGGAAAGGAAGGAAGAAACATAAGGAGAGCAAATACACATGCACATCTCAACATTGTGACCTGCCATATATGCCCTCCTTGCCATGTATATTCTCTTGCAGAGCTACTAAAATGGACACAACCATTATTTTTAGCTTATGTGCAGTAGGGAGCACTAGCACATTCTGCAGATACTATTTTCAACCCTTTTTTCCCTGAGGTCTTCAAAGGCTTAGTTTCCCAAGTGCCATCTAGCTCAAAGTGCAGGCCTAATTTACTGGCTTTCATTCAGTTACTCATGTAGGCCTGTGTACCTAGAATCTAATCTGTAGTATCCTGGTGAAATTTAGTTTTTCTGTTTCCAGACTACTACCCATATCCCTTGATTGGCTTGAGGATGCATCCCATTTTGAACTTGATCTGATTTTGTATTACAAGTTCTGGGCATGTGTATATTTTCCTTTCCTTTTATTATTCTTAGTTGCACAAGGAAGGTGATTCAGTGGTGTTTTAATATGTATGTGTTGATTGCTCCTGAATAAGCCTGTGACTAAACTTTAACCCTGAATCCCACTGTTTAAGGTTTTTCCCCCTCTGGATGCTGTGGAGCTGAACTCTGAGTGATCCCATGCAGACTGTCACCCTTTTACTCCCTTGTGGCATTCATTGTTTAGATTATTGGGAGGTTAAGCGGATGAGCCTTCTTTTAATTCAAGGAGCTTTATTTGGGAGAGTACATAAAGAGTGTTGTGAAACTACTTTTATCTAAAATCCAGGGAAGTGGAGATGTCATCTGACTGTCAAATGTAAGGTTTATCTGAGAGATATGCTTGCCCTTCCCCTAGGCAATTATATTTTTCCTGAAGCTACCAAAATGGGACTGTCATGTGGATAGATTCATAAATTAGTTTTGTGGCCACCTCATTACCTAATTCCCTTGGTTTAGGAATGTTCTTTATCTGACACTGACCCACTGTGGAATGGCTAGGGATACTTATTTTTTCTCTTTATTCTTTTTGCTTCAGAACGCAAGTGCTTTTGTTGTAGATAAAAATGGGAAATGCAGGAAAGGTAAAAAAGAAAAATTAGAAACCCTTTAGAAGTCTACTACTTGTGAGTAGGCACATTAAATAGTTGAATATAATATTTTTCAGAAAACAAGACCTACCCATATGTTGTCTACAAGAAACTCACTTTAAATACAAAGATTCATATAGATTAAAAGTAAATGCGTGGGGAATATGCTAACACTAACCAAGAGAAAGCAGAAGTAGCTATATTCATTTCAGACAGAGCAGACTTCAAATCAAGGGGAGTTATCAGGGATAAAGAAAGGCATTCTATAATGATTAAAGAAGTCAGTTCTCCAAGACATAACAGTCTTTAACATTTATGTGCTTAACAACAAAGTATAAAAATATGTGAGGCAAAAACTAATAGAATTGCAAAGGGAAGTATAATAGATTGATCGCATGATCACATCAGTGCATTTGACAGAAGCATTTGAGAAAATGCGACACTCATTCATGATTGAAAAAAAAAAAAACTTCTCAATAAACTAGGAATAGAGGAGAAATTCCTCATATTGATAATGAATATCTACAAAAAACCTACAGCTAACATCATATTAATGGTGAGAAACTTAAAGTTTTCCCAATAAAATCAGGTACAAAGCAAGGATGTTCACTTTCACAACTCCTTTTCAGTATCAATACTGGAAGTTCTAGCTAATGCAAAAAGGTAAGTAAAGGAAATAGAAGGTATACAGTTTGGGAAGGAAGAAATATAATTGTCTTTGTTCACAAATGACATTATCATCTATGTAGAAAATCCAAAAGAATCAACAACAAAAATACCCCTCTAGAACAAATAAGCAATTATGGCAAGGTTGTGGTATACAAGGTTAAAATACAAAAGTCAGCCATTTTCCTATATACCAGCAAAGAACAAGTAGGATTTGAAATTGAAAATACAATCCATTTACATTATAACCTTCCAAAATGAAGTACTTATGTATAAATCTAACAAAATATGTACAAGATCTATATGAGGAAAACTACAAAACTCTGATGAATGAAATCAAAGAACTAAATAAATAGAGATGTTCCATGTTCATGAACAAGAAGACTCAGTATTGTTAAGGTGTCAGTTCTTCCCGACTGGATCTGTAGGTTCAATGCAATAACCCCCCCCCCAAATCCCAGCCAGTTATTTTGTGGATATTGAAAAACTGATTCTAATGTTTATATGGAGAGATAAAAGACCCAGAATAGCCAACATGATACTGAAGGAGAAGAACAAAGTTGGAGGGCTGATGCTACCCAACTTCAAGGCTTTTTATAAAGTTCACAACACTGTGGTATTGGCAAAAGAGCAAATAGATCAATGGAACAATAAAGAGCCTGTAAATAGACCCACATAAATATAGTCAACTGATCTTCAACGAAGGAGCAAAGGCAAAAGAATGGAGTAAAGATAGTTTTTACTAATGGTGCTGAAAGAACCAGACATGCACATGGGAAAAAATGAATCTAGACACAGACCTTACACCATTCACAAAAATAACTCAAAATAGATCACAGCCCTAAATTTAAAACATAAAACTATAAAATGGCTAGAAGATTTAGGAAAAAACCTAGTTACCCTTTTTTATGGCAATGTCATTTTAGATATAATACCAAAGGCACAATCTGTGAAATAAATAATTGATAAGCTGGAATTCATGAAAATTAGAAACTTTCGCTCTGCAAAGGACAGTGTCAAGAGAAAGAGAAGACAAGTCAAAGAATGGAAGAAAATATTTGCAAAAGACATATCTGATAAATGACAGTCATCCCAAATATACAAAGAATTCTTAAAACTCAGCAATAAGAAAATGAACAACCTAATTTTCATGTGGGACAAAGACCTTAACAGACAACTCATCAAAGAAGGTATACAGATGGCAAATAAACGTAAGTAAAGATACTCCACATCATATATCATCAGAGAAGTGCAAATTAAAACAACAATGAGATACCACTACACATTTATTAGAATGGCCAAAATTCAGAACACTGGCAACTGGAGTTGGAGAGGAATTGGAACAACAGGATCTCTCATCTATTGCTGATGGGAATGCAAAATGGTTACAGCACTTTGGAAGACAGTTTGGTAGTTTCTTACCAAACTAAACATACTCTTACCACACAATCCAGTAATCACACTCCTAGGTGTTTACCCAAAGGAGTTCAAAACTTATGTCCACACAGAAACCTGCACACAGATGTTTATAGCAGCTTTATTTGTAATTGCCAAAACTTGGAAGCAACTAAGATGTCCTTAATTAGGTGAATGGATAAATAAACTGTGGTACATTTATACAGTGGGATATTATTATTCAGCATTAAAAAGAAATGATCTATTAAGCCTCGAAAAGACATGAACAAACTTTAAGTGCATATTACTAAGTGAAAGAAGCCAATCAGAAGAAGACTACGTATCTTTTTTGAAGTAGTGTTTTCATATTTGGATAAATACCTAGAGGTGGGATAGCTGGATCATATGGTAGTTCTATTTGTAATTTATTGAGGCATCTCCATACCGTTTTCCATACTGATTTTACCAATTTACATTCCAACATACAACCTATATATAGGTTCCCTTTTCTCCACATCTTTGCCAACACTTATTTCTTGCCTTTTTGATAATAGCCATTCTAATAGTGTTCATTGCAGAATTATTTACAATAGCCAAGTACCCATCAATGGATGAATGGATAAAGAAGATGTTATACACATACACACCACACACACACACACACACACACACACTCACTGGAATACTACACAGCCATAAAAAGATGAAATCTTGCCATTTACAACAATATGGACCTTGAGGATATTATGCTAAGTGAAATAAGTCATATGAAATGAGACAAATACCATATGATTTCATCCATATGTGGAATAAAACAAACAAAATAAATGAACAAGCCAAACAAAGGCAGAGAGGGAGAAGGTAAAATGTGTAAAGGGGATAAACTATATGGTGACAGCTGGAAACAGCTTTTGGCAGTGAGTACCCTGTAGTGTACACAGCATTAGAAATATAATGTTGTACACATGAAACATATAATGTTATAAACCAATGTTACCTCAATAAAAAATAAGAAGGGACTTCCCTGGTGGCACAGTGGTTAAGAATCTGCCTGCCAATGCAGGGGACACAGTTTCGAGCTTTGGTCTGGGAAGATCCAACATGCTGCGGAGCAAATAGGCCCGTGCACCACAACTACTGAGCCTGTGCTCTGGAGCCCGTGAGCCACAACTACTGAGCCCATGTGCCACAATTACTGAAGTCCACATGCCTAGAGCACATACTCTGCCACAAGAGAAGCCACTGCAATGAGAAGCCTGCCCACTGCAACATAGAGTAGCCCCCACTCGTCACAACTAGAGAAAGCCCACGCACAGCAACGAAGACCCAACACAGGCAAAAATAAATACAAATAAATAAATAAATTTATTTTAAAAATAACTTAAGGGCTTCCTGGGTGGTGCAGTGGTTGAGAGTCCGCCTGCCGATGCAAGGGACACGGGTTCGTGCCCCGGTCCGGGAAGATCCCACATGCCGCGGAGCGGCTAGGCCCGTGAGCCGTGGCCGCTGAGCCTGCGTGTCCGGAGCCTGTGCTCCACAACGGGTGAGGCCACAACAGTAAGAGGCCTGCGTACCGCCAAAAAAAAAAAAAAAAAAAGTAAAAGCTACATATTGTATGATTCCAACTATATGACATTCTGGAAACAGCAAACTATGAAACAGTAAAATTATCAGTGATTGCTAGGATTTTCAAGGAGAAAGGAAGAGGATGAATAAGCAGAGCACAGAGCATTTTTAGGGCAATGAAACTACTCTGTGTGGTATCATAATGATAGGTACATGTCATTATACATTTGTCCAAACCTATAGAATGTACAACACCAAGAATGAACCCTAAGGTAAACTGTGGACTTTGCGTGATTATGATGTGTCCATGTAGTTTCATCAATTGTAACAAATGTACCACTCTGATGGGGGATGTTAATGAGGGAGGCTATGCATGTATGGGGACGGGGGGTATATGGGAAATCTCTGTACCTCCCAGTCAATTTTGCTGTGATTGTACAACTGTCTAAAAAATGTAGTCTTAATTTAAAAAAAAAAGTTAATGTGAAGGAGCCATGTCATCTCAGATTTAACCTTTGAATTTGCCCATAATTCATTTCCCCTCTTACCCTCCTATTTCCAATATAGAGTTAATGAGATGCCTCCAATGGAACAGTATGGGATTTAACAATATATATTCAGTTATTAGTGAATGGTAAGATGGATACTTGTGTGTCAAAGAAATGGAAGTAATTTGTGGAATTTTGCTTCTCAGTGAGGCAGTGGATGGTTGAAATTGTGGTGTGACGTCACTGGATGACGCGTGATCTGAGGACCCCTACACTGTTGAATGGGAGACAGGTCTAGAATTTTCCTATAAACGTATTAACATGCGTAGCAGTCCAGGAGCAGCAGTTAGGCAAACACTACGGCTTGCTGCCCTGGTGCCATCTCTCACTGAGCTCACCAGGTGAGTCAAAGGCAAGCCTGCCTTCCCAGTGTGGGGAACTGGATTAGGGTCGGCGCAGAGGCACGATGTTGGGCAGCTCTTAGGAGCTTCTGAGTCTCCCAGGAAACTAGAGATCCTTCTGTCTTTTAAACTTTGAACTCAACGCACACCAGAGAGAGATTTGCTTCCATCATAAAGATATGTGTATTCTCATTAGGAGAAACAATGAAAAACACCTTTCCATAATGCCTGCCTTAGCCCTAAGTCTCAGCCAGCCCCTGCTACTGAGTCTCGACTTTTAAAAAGCCTTTGAAGTCCCACCACGTGCCATATACTCTGGGCAGTATTTGTCATTCACCCCTCAGGACAGCTCTGTGACATAGGTATCGTGAGTCCCACATCACAGATGCCCAAGCTCAGGCTGACAGAGCCTAGGTCAGCTCTCCAGTAAGTGGCAGGATGGGATGAGGTTCTATCCCTCGCCCTCCATAGAGGACACAGAGCGGCCTCCCTTTTAGACAATGGGCTTCCAGGGCTGGAAAAATGGTCAGTCACACTCCCTGCTATTGTGGCCCCGCGGGTATTCACTCACCAGCCCCTCAGAGTGAGGAAGATTACAGAGGAGATGAAATTCTGCCCCTTATTCCAAGAGACCTGGGTGTCTGGGCCACATCCATTGGCTGATTCCTGAAGTGGGGAGTAGGGCTCAGACAGAGGCTCAGGTGTTGCCCTTGAGACAGGTGATCTGGAGGGAAGGAAAGTGATATGTAAGGAAGTGCTTTAAGAAATTGTGCTTTATATTTTGTCTTCTTTAATCCTAACAGCTATTCAAGTTACCCATCATTTTGGCCAACATCATACCAGGGTACTGACTTTAGGGGAGTTTATGTAAATCAGGAAGACACCTTTGTTTTCTCCAGGTCAACAGCCAACTGTGGAAATACTTTAAAGTTTTTTTGCATTTTCTCTTGATGCCTCCAGGACTCTGAATGCTCTAACCTGCCTGGAGGCTGGCGGTACATGCTCCTCACATTTTCTTTCCTTTTTTAATAACACTTGCATTGTTTTTAAGTCTAATTATTGAAATTGAAAACTTTCTAAATTAAAAAAAAGAGTTATGTTAAAAGAGGGGAGAAAACATTTGTAAACTACGCCTCATAGTGGGTTAATATCCATGATTTGTGAAGCACACTCATTAACAAATGATTGGCAACTAATTTCAACAAAGAACTCAAATAAATATATATATATGAATAGTAAACATGTTAAAATATGCCTAAACCACTAGTGTGTTATTCAGGGTTCTACAGAGAAATGGAAACAGCAGGATATGTATTTATATATAAAAGGAGATTCATCAAAAGGAATTGGCTTGTGCAGTTATGGAGGCTGAGAGGTCCCACAGTCTGTCCTTTGCAAGCTGGAGACCCAGGAAAGCTGGTGGCGTAGTTCAGTCTGAGTCCAAAGGCCTGAGAACCCCGGAAGCTGATGGCTTAAATCCCGGAGTGAGGGCCAGAGAAGGTGAGATGAGATGTCAGGCAGTGCAGCAGGAAGCAGAAGTGGGGGAGTTCCTCCTCCCTCTGCCTTTTGTTCAATTCAGGCTTTGAACAGATTGGATGAGTCCCACCCACAGCGGGGAGGACAGTCTACTGAGTCCACCAGTTCAAATACTAATCTCATCCAGAAACACCCTCAAACACAACCAGAATCATGTTTAATCTGGGCATCCCATAGCCAGCTGAGTTAACACATAAAATTAACCATCACAACTACAATTAATGAGATGAAAATATAAATCCTAAGAAGAATATTAAGTGGAAAAGACAAGATGCAAAAGATGAATAATGTGATTCCTCTTTAGGAAGAGACACCTGTATGTGTGCAGTTGTCTATGATCATGTACCCTCACCTACAGGGACACGTCTGGAGGGGAGGCACTGTTCTATGACAACAGATCCTTTTGGGTCAAGGGGCGGGAGTCAGGCCTGTAAGAGAGGTGAGAAAATGTACTTTCATGTATTGTTTGGAATGTATTCAGGAAAAAAGCATTTTCATAAAAAATTGAAAACAAAGTACTGTGAACAGACTGACAAAGGTAATGTGAACATGTATTTATTACTTTGGAAAAGCATTCATTGTATTCAGTTTCCTGGGGAAATGAAGTAGATTTTAAAATGGAATTGACTGTGTGTGTGTGTGTTTCTAGGTCTCCTCTAGCTCTATCACCCCAAACACATGCTTA